TGCAGCAGCCACACTGGCCATCTTAGACCCAGAGAGTGGCAGGTTTCAAAGCTCCTGCAAACTGTATTAGTCAAGTAGGGCTGCACAATGAAGTACATACCTCACACTGGCTTAAACAACAGATATTTAGCTTTTCACACTTTTGGAGACTAAGAGTCTGAAATCAAGGTGTCGGGTGGCCCCTTCTGAGAGCTGAGGATTCTGTTCCATGGCTCTCTCATCGTGAAACTGGAGTTTTGGACCCAAGGCCCAAACTCTTGGGCTTCTTCATGTCAGGTCCATCCACTTGTCTCTATACACCAACTAAAGAGACATGGTAGCTAGTTGCTGGTGGCTCATGCCTGTAATCCTAGCTACTCAGGAGGCAGAGATCAGGATGATCACGGTTGGAAGCCAGCCTAGGCAAATAGTTCATGAGATCCTATCTTGAAAAAATCCTTTACAAAAAAAAAAGGACTGGTGGAGTGGCTCAAGGTGTAGGCCTTGAGTTCAAACCCCAGTACCACCCCCACCACCAATAAAAAGAGACATGGTGAAGGAAGAGAAAGGAGGTGTGTTACACGGCTCAGGATGCACTGTGGGAAGAAGCAGAGTAAGCCCTCAGCCATCCTAAGCCATCTTCCAGGTCCAGGCATAAGCTTTAGAGTTAAATAGACAAAAGAATTAGGAGCCAGGGACAAAAGGAATGTACAGTTAAACAGTCCCAGTCACAGGTATGTTTCAGAGGTGGTGTGAGGCCTGGTTGGCCATTAACTTGTTTTCCAAGGGTTCCAGAGAAGTTGTTATTGCTGTCGTCACTTGAGGGTAGCATCTGCTTTTCATGAGATAATTACTCCTTCTCCAGAGTGCAGCCTCATGACTTTAGGTAACTGTCTTCATTTTGGGGTGGTCTGTCCTGCAAGGCTCTACTGTTTCTTAGGAGTAGTTTCAGTCCCTTGTCATAAAGATGTTATCAATCAATTCTGTCCTTCCTTGATTCCAACGTGGCTGCAGGAAAGAATGGCTCACAGCAAAGGACAGTTGGTACAAAATGAAGACAGAGATGTCAAGCTTTTCTCCTGTTTTTAGTTAATTCATGGACCTAAGTAAGGAGTCAGTGCTTTTCAGCAAAAGCAATTTAGGCACCTCTTACACTAGCTCCCAGTGATTTGCTAGTGACATTTGGCGTTTCCTGGTTGTAGAAATATCCCCCAATGTTTGCTTTCATCTTTACATGACATGTTCCTTATGTGTGCATCTGTGTCTAAATCTCCTCTTTCTACCTTGGTTTGGGGCCCCCCCAATGGCCTCATTTTGACTTGTTTATCTTTGTAAAGGTCCTATCTCCAAATGAGATCACATTCCGAGGCACTGTAAGATGTGCTTAAACTGCTTTTGCTGAAAAGCTCTGAGGGCCCACAATTAACTAAGAGCAGGAGAAAAGCATGGCATCTCTCCCTCAGGTTTTTTTCTTGTTTTGTTTTTGGTGGGGCCAGAGTTTGAACTCAGGGCTTTGCACTTGTCTTCCCCGCCCCGGCCCCCAAGTTTCATATCTGTCTTTGCTGTAAGTCATTCTCTTTGCAGTCACTCTGCAATCACCTTGGATTCCAGGAAGGACAAAAAAGATAGCACCTTCATGACAAGAGAGCCCCTGCCCCCAACAGTAGAGCCTCCTTAAGTAGAGCCAGACTACGATGATGACTCTGGATTACAGGAACCTCTCCCAGTACAAGGACTGAGATAATGATTAGCAAGACCATAATCTCTCCCTGCCCCCAGTTCTTTGTCTATTTAAATCTATATAGCTCAAGTCTATACCTGGAAGATGGCTGAAGATGGGCTGAGTGCTCATTCTGCCTCTGCCCACAGTGTGTCCCAAGTCGTGTAACAAATTTCCTTTCTTTGTTCTTCATCATGTCTCTTTATTCGGCTTCTAGAGGTGAGTGGATAGATTTAACATGTGGAACCCAAGGAGTTTGGGCCTGAGGTCCCAAACTGTAATGTCAGCACTAAAATATGATCTGAGGAACTTACCTTTTTTGGGGGTGGGTCGGGAGTGGGTGGTATCAGTGGTTGGTCTCTGAAGACTCTAGTCAGAAGATTTCTAGGCACTTACACCATGCAAGAGAAGTGTTCAGGCCGGATGGGAAAATGATAGTGAAGTTTACTGAAGGTGAGGGGAAGGTACCACAGGAGAAAGCAGTGGGCTCCGGTCAGATGGCATAGAGTCCCCAGTCTCTCCTTTAAAAGGCCTTTATAAATTCAAAGGGCAAATGGTGGGACAAATCTGGGCAGTCTGCAGGATGGGCTAGTGTGGTTGATAAGTTTGATTGACAAGGTCTTGTCACATAACATACTTGTCTAGGGCAAGTACAAGTCTTGTCCTAAATATCTGTTCCCTTCAACCCTCAACTTCTCCCCCCTTCATCTATTCTGATGCTCCAACCCTTCCCATGGCCTGGCCTCTCCCCACCCCGACCTGCTCTTTGCTTCCTCTCTTTGCCTCCTAGCACTTGTTATTAGTCAAATGTTTTGTCAAAATACTCACAAAACAAAGATTAATTCTGGTTCACAGTTTCAGAGGTTTCACTCCATAGTCCTTGGTTCTGTTTTTGGTGGTATTAGAGTTTGAATTCAGAGCCTCACATTTGCTAGACAGGCACTCTACCACTTAAGCCACTACACCAGTGCTTTTTTGTGTTGGGTTTTTTCAAGATAGGGTCTCAAGAACTATTTGCCTGGGTTGGCCTCTAACCTTGATCCTCCTGAGCTCTGCCTCCTGAGTAACTAGGATTACAGGTGTGAGCCACCAGCACCTGGCTCCTTGGCTTGATTGATTCTGATGTAGAACATGGTGATGAAGGCTACTCACCTCATACTGGGACCAGAAGCAGAGCAAGAGCATGCCTCCCTAGCTGGCTTTCTCCTTTTCTCCCATCTAAGCCCCCAGCCACTACCCACATTCAGGGTAGATCTTCTGCCTTTGGTTAATCATATCTGGAAACACCCTTGCAGCCACACCTAGAAGTATACTTTCCTAAATCTCCTAGGTGCTTTTCAATCCAATCAAGTTGACAATCACGATGAAATATCACTCTATTCATTTTCCCCACCCCTTGTGGTTCTAGGGATTGAACCCAGGGCCTCCTGCATGCTAGACAAGCACTCTTAACACTTGAGCCATATCACAAGCGTGAAGAAAGAGCTATCACACTGCTCTTTCTTCATTTCCATCTTAAATGTTATCTCCTCAGAAAAGCCTTCTCTGATTGCCCTCTCTTCATTGTATTGCCTGTGTTATTTCCTCAGAGTTTCCCTTTCTTCTCAATACGTCTTCTGGTTCTGTAAATATGTGTTTATCTGTATAATTGATCAGAAGGTGTGGTAGGCATTAATCCTTACTCTGAAAGCACTGTGAGGATCAGAGGTAGGGACATGTTTACCCACTATTGTCTTTCCAGTGTCATAGTGCCTAAGCCAGAGCAGAAACTCCCTAAATATTTATTTAATGATTTCCACGTTTGGATCCCTAATTAATCCCTCAAAGTGTGGGATTAGTAAATGCTGAATGAATTATTTCTGCCTGTATCCTCCAAAAGAGACCAAGCTCCTTGAGGGTAAGATGGGTCTTGTTTTTTTTTTTTTTTTTCTTTTTTCTTTTGCTTGTTTGTTTTTGTTACTGTTGCTTTTTCCCCAGTGCTGGAAATTGAACCCAGGGCCTCAAGCATGCTACACAAGCATTCTACCATTGAGCTACACCCCTAGACCCTGGTCTCCAGCATTCAATCTCTCCTCCTCTATCCTCTATGTATTAGTTATCTATGCAGCATGATAAATTCCTCTAAAATTTAGGAATTTAAAACAATGACATTGTTGGGTGCTGGTGGCTCACACCTGTAATCCTAGCTACTCAGGAGACAGAGGTCAGGAGGATCTCAGTTTTGAAGCCAGGCAAATAATTTAAGAGACCCTATCTCGAAAAAATCTTTCACAAAAAAGGGTTGGTGGAGTGGTTCAAGGTGTAGCCCCGAGTTCAATCCCCAGTACACACATACACACACACAGACATTTCTTAGAATTTTTATATAACTATTTTAATTTCTGAGGGTCAGGAATTTGACTGACTTTTCTGGGTATTTCTGGCTCAAATAAGGTTATATGCAAGATTTTGGTCAGGGCTGCAGTCAGCTGGCCTGGCCTGGCCTGGCCTGGAGGATCCACTCTGGAGATGGCTCATGCATTTGGCCTGCAAGTTGGAATTGGTTGTTGGCAGGAGGCTTGCTCACTACTTTCCACAAGGCTGCTTGAATATCCTCCCAACATGGGATTTCCCATGAGTGACCAAGAGAGAGCAAAGAGGAAGCTGCAATGTCTTTTCTGACTTAATCTTGGAACTCATGTTCCATGCTTCCCACATGACTTCTATCAGCTGTACGATCGGCTCTGTTCAGTGTGGGAGCAGATGACAGAGGGCATGGGTACCGGAAGTGAAGAATTGTCCCAGCCCAGGATGGAGGCTGGGTACCTGAACTAGGTCTGTTCTTAACCACCTGCCCCACCCATTCTCAAGCATAGACTGCTCTTTGCTTTTAATCACTTATCGCATATGATTCCATGTTGATTTACTGATTACACTGTCTCCCTCCAACAGAGATGCTCGGTGGACATTTTCTGAGCAGGTTACAGTGATTTGCTTCTTCTAAGTTATATCATGCGTTTCTGTTTGCCTCCCCTCGCACTGTTGGGTCCTAGCCCAGAATTAAGGCTTCTGCAAACGTTTGCTGAAATGCACTAAGCGATAAGGGCCTGGAGTGATGCTGGTAACGGAGGGGTCTGGAACTCTCCTCAAGTCCTCATGGCTGGGTTCAAACCCACGGAGTGAGGAGCAGACAACAGCGGCCCAAAGCTTAGAGGCCGCGCTCGCCCCGCCCCGCGTTCCGCCCCTAGCAACGCGGGGCGGGGCTGAGCCCGCTGGGTGCTCTGGGTGCGTCATTTCCGGGTCTGGGGGCTGGGTGGGTCGTGGGGAATCACTTCCGGGTGAGCGGCGCGGCGGCTCTCCGGGTGAGTGACCAGGTGCGGGCGACTGGCTGGGTCTTCCCTGCGGGGCGGGGGTGAGACGCGGCCGGAACCGAGAGAAGCGGCGCTCCGCGTTGTGCGAGTCACTTCCCGGGGCGCCCGGAGCAAGTACTTGCGGTGGGGGATTTGAGTTCCAAGGAGGCGGAGGGTCTCACCTGGGACCGAACTGTGGGCTCCTCGCTGTCGGTCCGGTCCCGGCTTTTCCTTCCACAGGTGGAGCCCCCGTTCTAGTCCATGCGCGCGGGTTCGGATGTCTGACATTGCACAACTCCCATTTCCTCTCGGTTCTGTGTCCCACTCTGTAAAATGGGCACATAGGCTTGTTCTGAGGATTAAAAGAGACAGTGTGCGTGCACAGTGTGTGTCAAGGTGAATTCATTCTCTAGGAGGAAGGGGAGATGGATTCAGTAGTCTCCCCGTTACCCGCGTTTTCAGTTATCTGGCCAGGAAATAGCAAGTGGAAAACCCCAGAAATAAACAGGTCTTAAGTTTTAAATGGTGTGTTCTGAGTAGGATGATGAAGTCTCGTGATTTCCTGCTCAGTCCCACTCTGCACATTTTTGTACAGCGGTTCCATGCTGGGTATGCTACCCGCTCGTTATTCATGTAGTAGCGGCCTCAGTTCTCAGGTTCAGTATTGTGGTACTGCATTCTTGTGTTCTAGAAACCCTTATTTCTCTTAATAATGGGTCCCAAGAACAAGAGTAGTGATGCTGGCAAAAAGAGAAGCCAAAAAGTACTCCCTTTAAGTGAAAAGACATTCTTGACCTAATAAGGGAAGAAAGGCCAGGTGCCTGTGGCTCACACATGTAATTCTAGCTACTCAGGAGGCAGAGATCAGGAGGATCGAGATTAGAGGCCAGCCTGGGCAAATAGTTTGAGAGACTCTATCTCCAAAATACCCAGAGCAAATGGACTGGAGGTATGGCTCAAGCAGTAGACCACTTGCTTTGCAAGCATGAAACCCTGAGTTCAAACCTCAACCCCACCAAAAAAAAGAAACTGCCTAGGTTGCTAAAACTTGTGGTAATAAGAACAAATGTATCATGAAGGAAAAAAATTCATTCTGGGTGTGGTGGCATATTGCTATAATCCCAGCATTTGGGTGGCTGGGGCAGGAGGATTGCAGATTTGAGGCCATCCTGGGCTACATAGTGAGGCCCTGTGTCAGAAAAGGAAAAAAAAAAATCTCTGGTAGTTTTGCTGTTGCACCTCAGGTTGCCAAAGTTATAGCCGCAGAGCATACTAAGTGCTTAGTTAGATGGAAAAGGCATGTAAATTTGTGGAAGACATGACCAGAAACGGGTTCCAGTTGATGGCAGTGTGTTGCACCAGAAAGCGGTATGCTTATGTGAAGACTCCAGCAAGGGATCTCCTGAAGCAAGTAACACGGCCGTCTACTACAAATGTGGGACAGAGATACAGATTTAGGAACGGATTTGAAACGCAAAATACAAAACTCGCTGCAGAGGCCGCGTCTGCTGAAAAAGCTTCTGCCACATTTCCAGCAGAAGTGGCAGAACATACTGAAGGCCACTGAGAAGTGTTAACAAATGAGGAATTGGAAGAACTCACTGGATCTTCTAGAAAGGAAGCAGAAGGTAAAGAAGAAACTGAAGCAGAGCTAGCAACATGGACATTGTCAAAGTGGTACAGACATTGAAGAACAACACTGTGGCATCTGATTGTCACGTGGAATGCAGCATTCAAGTCACTTGTGATCACTAAAGGCTCTGCAGCAATCCTTCATGAATTAAAAAGAGACAACTATATATTATTATATTATATTAATATAATGCCTTTCAAAAGATTTCTACCAGGGCAGGTGGGTGGTAAGGGAGGGGGTGGGGGCAGGGGGGAGAAATGACCCAAGCATTGTATGCACATATGAATAATAAAACAATAAAATAAATAAATAAATAAATAAAATGAGGATAGTAAAAGATTTCTACCAAAAAACTCAGCTATGGAAAATCCCCAGCTGCCATCATTATGTCCTGACATTCCATCATGCACATCATGGTCATGACTTGATACTCCTTCTGACTTATTGTCGGAAGGCCAGTAGCAGCCTAATGCTGCATCAGAACAGCTCCGTCACTCACCAGCTTCATTTCCTCATTTAGCCATTGTACCATCTCAGTCACAAGAAGGATGAGTGCAGAATACATGATGCTTTGAGAGGCAAAACCACATTCACGTAACTTTTATTACCGTGTATTGTTAGATTTGTTCTAGTTTATTGTTAGTTATGGTTAATCTCTTAGGACCTAATTTTTAAATTAAACTTTATCATAGATTTGTATGTAGGAGAAAACAGTGTATATAGGGCTCCATTCCATGTGTGATTTCGGGTGTGTACTGGGTATTGTGGCGCACATCCTGTATGGATAAGAGGGAAGTTACCGTGTGAAATCTCATAGTTTTTAAATGATGACAACAAATTTGGGTTAATAATTTTATTCCGCATACTAGTTTCAGCTCACTCATTACCAGTTTTGACTCTGCCCTGGGCGGTGGCTTAGCTTTCCATCAGTCAGAATTCTAACCCAATTTTGAACAGTTCTTGAGAATCTGTTCCCGTGGGACAAACCTGGACACATAGCCCATTGCTACAAGGCAGTGCCTCCCCACACTGGTTTTCTCCCCTGTTGCAGTTGAACTCTCCAGAGCAGAATATGAAAACCCCTTCAGTAGAAGCCAAGACTCCCCTCCTGACAGCCTGCAACATTGGGAGGAAGTTGGAAGACGTCAGAGGCTCTGGCAATCTTGGAATCTGGGGTTTTCAATCTCAGAGAAGATTTAGTACTTGCTAAGTCTTGAGAGCTACACATGTCTCAAGGGTTATTTATTTTGAAACATTTGACCTATTTGTAAAATACTACTTTAGAACAACTTTAGATTTACAAAGTTACTGTGAAGAGACTGTAGTGAGTTCCCAAATGATACCTTTGCCACCATTGAGAAGCCAGTGTTGATACTTTATTATTAATCAAAATCCCTGCTTTATTCTGAGTTCCTCAGTTCTCCCCTAACACCCTTCTTCTGTACCAGGATCCCATCTGGAATAGCATGGTACTTTCAGTAGTCGTGTCTCTTGAGGCTCCTCACGGCTGTAGTAGTTTCTCAGATTTACTCTGTTGTAAATGAAGCTGACAGTTTGTTGTTGTTGTTGTTGTTTGTGGTACTGGGGCTTGAACTCAGGGCCTTCACCTTAAGCCACTCCACCAGCCCTTTTTGTGTTGGGTATTTTCAATATAGGGTCTTGCAAACTCTGCCCTGGCTGGCTTCAAACCACAATCCTACTGATCTCTGCCTCCTGAGTAGCTAGGATTACAGGTGTGAGCCGCCAGTGTCCGGCTGAACCTGATAGTTTTAAGGATTACTAGACAGACATTTTGCAGAATAACCTTCCAATTAGGATTTGTTTCTTTTTCTCATGACTAGACTGGGGTCACGGTTTTTTTGGGGGAAGAGCACAGAGGTAAAGTGTCCCAAGGTACATAGTATTGGTATGTGTTATTAACTGTTAATGTTAACTTGGGTCCCTTGGCTTGAAGTAGTGAAGTTTTTGTCTACTGTTAAGTTACCTCCCCGCCCCCATTTTCATTCTCTACTCTTAGAAGAAAGTCATCTTGTGCTGCTGCATTGAGGAGTGTGGAATTGTGCCCCACATTTAAAGGCAGATATCTACATAAATTATCTGAAATTCTCCATGGGAGATTTGTCTGTTCTCTGCTATTTATTTACTTTTTTCAGTGATTTCTGTCAGTATGGACTCATGGATATTTTACACTTTGGGTTATAATCCAGTACTACTTCATTTTGTTCTAATTGTTTCAACTTTGGCTATTGAGAGCACTTCCTTTGACACCTCCTTCCCCAATTTTTTTTTTTTTTTGAAGTACTTTCATACTTTCTGCTGCAGCCTCATCCTGTGTATTTCTGCCCCAATCCTAGAATTAGCCATTTCCTCAATGAGCCCTGGTCAAGAATGGTCCAGAAACCAAGATTTGGACACAGGTGTGTTCATCACACTGGAGTATCCTTGCTCATAGAACCTTTCAATGAATAGAGTCAGAGATCTATTATTGTATAAACTCATATCTGTAGATATTTCTATGTGAAACTACCTGCACCTATATTAAGCTAAATATCTGATGTCTCCAACTGTTACTCATTACCACATGGATTATTCTAGCTTCCTTTTCTTATCTGGAACCTCCCATTCCCTCTGTGACAAACCTGACTTCTACCATCCATTTACTTATGTGTTAATTCTGGCATGTGTGTAGAGTGGTTTTGGAATTGTTTGTTTACCTGTCTCTGTGAGAAGCAAGTTTATCAGCTAGAGTGCAGTTCACACATACAGTTCCTTTTGGCTTTAGTTTTACAGGCTCCTCCCAGGCCCAGGGTTACTTAAGTCAGCACCATATTCCTTCTACCCCTTTAGTGAAATTATTTAAGGTACATTAGATTCAATATCACAAGCTGCATCCCTTCCTCAGATGCCTGGCCTGTGATTTTTTTAAAACATTTGCATACGTTAAAGTTTTCTCATTCTGCTGTAAATTTTATGGGTTTTGACAAATGCTTAGTGTCTTCTATTCACTGTTATAGCAACATATAGATAATTTTCTCTCCACCAGAGATTAGATTAGCTTCTTTCAGATTTTACCTCAGCAATTTTGTTGGCTTTCTCTTCAAAACATATCTAGTCTGAGAATTCCCACCTTTTCTGCTACCACCTCAGTGTGAGCATGACTTTTGACTGTTAAAATATTCTCTTATTTTTTGGAGGGACTGGGGTTTGAACTTGGCTTTGTACTTGCAAAACAGTCGTTTGAGCTATATCTCCAGTCCATTTTGCTCTGGTTACTTCTCAAGATAGGTTCTCACAGACTATTTGTCCAGGCTGGCCTCAAACCTGGATCCTCCCAACCTCATCCTCTCAAGTAGCTAGGATTACAGGCGTGAGCCCCAGG